GATACCCCCTAGTTTCACTTGCTCCTACCCAAAAGGCCAAGGAGCAGCTAGGGGAAAAGTGCAAAATCAGTCCCTTGTTGCCACAAAATTGATGGGAACTTACCTTTTTGGTTTTTTATAAATTTTTTATAAATTTTGTTTCAAGGGCTAAATCAGTTCTGAATTCTATTGGGCAAAGCCTGATAGTCAAGTTCCAAATTTTGACTGAGAATCATTCAAGTCTGTGTGTGTGGTTCTACCACTGGGCAAGTATCCTTCCTCCCAGACCCATCAGTCATGGGCTTTGGATGTCCTCCAAATCCATGGCAGGCATCTTACATGCAAGCCCCAAGCCCGGAGGCCTTAGTGTTCAGATGCCCACTAGTCTCGCTTGCTCCTAGCCAAAAGGCTGAGGAACAAACCATGAAGAAAATGTGAATGCAGTCCCTCATTGTCACAAAATTGTGCAGTTGAGTTTCCCACACTTGGGGAAACTCGCAGGGGTCAGTCTGCCCAGGACACAATGGACAGGTCTTACCCTGGAAAAACCACCTATCACAAGTTTTACAAAGATATATTTCTCTCTCTCTCTCTCTAGATATAGCTATACATGTATATAGGGTTGTGTGTGTGTATGTATAGACAGATGGATCTACTTTAAGAGCCCTGTCATGTGACTGGTCCAGTTCACTTTACAGGCCCTGACGCATATACGTTGTTACACCATCCACTTCCCATTACAATAACTGCACCTGCATGTCCGCTGCCATCTCTTTACCCATTACAGTTGCACTGAACCACCTTCAGTCTCTCTACCTCCCCACCCCCCACCTCCACCCCCTCTGGTCCCTTCCCCAGTCCTTAATCCACATCAGCTTCATTGTCCTCGTTGCTCACCCCCTCTTTGTCACAGTCCTTGTCTTTGTCCTCATCATTGTTGTTGTCTTCTTTGGGTGCCTTGCCCCTGAACAGTCCATGCCAGCCCCTTCTCTTCTATATGATGTCCACCTCTCCTCCCCCTTGTCCTCTACTGGCTTCTTGTAGTACAGCTGCATCTCACTCATTCCCATCCTGCCACAATCCTCGACTGAAAAGTTTGTGTGCCTGTACCTGAACTGTTTCCTGGTCTTCCACAGGGTGTTCCTGAAGCAGGAGACAAACTGGTTGAAATAAGTCGTCAGGGTCCCCTGCTGCTTGATCAAGTGCCTGTACAACACCACCTCTCTGATCATGGTGTTGACCCCATCACCATCATGAGGAATAGGATTAGCTGCATTATTATTTTTATATAATTTTCCCTGTTTCTGCATGCTGCAGAGCCCCTGCACTGAGGCACCCTGTGCCCTAGCCAGCCAGGGAGCAGCACGTGGAAATGAGACGCACAGGCAGCCCAGGGCTGCCTGCTTCCCTGTCCCTGCGCTGTAGAGCCTCCATGTTGAGACACCCTGCATCCCAGCTAGCCGGGGAGCAGCTGGCTGGGGCACAGTGTGCCTTGATATGGCAGCTCTGGGATGGCTGCTCCCTTGTCTCCATGTGCCTCAGTGCAGGGTCTGCAGCAGAGCCCCTGCGCTGAAGCACGTGGAGCCCCCATCTCCAAGCACCCTGGTAGTGCAGTGTGCCTGGAGATGGGGCTCCACGTACCTCAGTGCGGGGGCTTCACAGCAGAGCCCTGGTGCTAAGACACACAGAGGCAGGGGAGCAGCCAGCGCAGGGCTCCCTGAGCTGCCTGCTTTCCCATTTCAAGGCACGCTGTACTCCAGCCAGCTGCCTCACGGTTGGCTGGGGTGCAGCGTGCCTGGAGACAGGCTCCATGTGCCTCAGTGTGGGGGCCCCACAGCAGAACCTTTGTGCTGAGGCATGTGGAGAAAGGGGAGCAGCCAGCCCAGAGCTGCCTGCTTCCCTGGCTTGAGGCACATGGCCCCAGCCAGCCAAAGAGCTGCTGCCTGGGGCACAGGGTGCCTCAGCATGGGGGCTTGCAGCATGCAGAGATGGAGGAACAGTCAGCCCTGAGCTGGCTGCTTCCCTGTCTCCACGTGCTGCTCCCGGGCTGGTGGGGCACAGGGTGCTTGAGCGTGTGGGCTGCCTGCCAGTTAGTAGCACCCTGAGGCACCCTGTGGCCCAGCCAGCCCCCCCTGCAATACATGAAGCAGGAGGACAATGTGTCCTGCTGCAAACCACATGGGCAGGTGTGTGAGCTGCAGGAAAAAGTGGCACAAATTTGTACCACTACTGTTTGTGCTGCTGCAAACATGTCCCTGCTCATATGGATGCAGCCTAGCTGTCTTTATGATCTCTGAACCTGGAGGTGGGAAAACTTGTTCACTACAGACTAGTTGGTGCAAGCCATTAGCTGCCCTTGGGCCACATCTTTGAATGGAACCTCCACAGGCTTAACTTGCAGCAAGCTGCTTCTGATGTCTTTATGCAGCAAGCAGCTGTCATGAAACCCAACCGGTTATTGTCTGTCATCCGCTGTCTCAGCTATTCAGACTTGCTCCACTTCCAGAGATCAGATTTCCCTATTCTTGGGTGGGCATGCATTTCCCAGGCACTTGTCAGTGACGGTGGGATACCAATTCTTTCCTTTAAAAAACAGCTTTTTCTCAGTGACTGTATTTAACTACAGTGCTTTCCTGAAGTTTTGTATTATCACCAATTTCTAATGTTCTACAAACAAAACTTACCACTTCCTAATCATTCAGAAAGTCCTGGATCAGACTGGAATCCACCCTTCTCTTGTGTCCAACACAGAGCTATACCACCAGGGCTCCTGGCCATCAGTCTTCACATTCCTCACTAGTGGCTTCTTCCTCTCTTGGGGCTCTGGAGAGAGAGAGACAAGACACTGGAGCTGCATGACATTCTTTGGGTGTGGGTGGGTCCTCTTTACTTACCCTTTGTGGTCTGCAAATGCAAGTTCAGGTGCAGATTTGTTGATCAGTTCAATTCTAATTTAGCCTAGGAGTCCTCCTTGGCATGCCCTGACACCCGGCATGCTTGTGTCCACCAGCCAGGGGGTTTCTCATTTCTGTCACCTTGATTTTGGCTGTGTCCTAGCCCCTGCTGATTGATAGCTTACTTCTGTCACATTGTCATAGCATTCAAACTGGGTGCAAGATTTGCCCTCCATTCTCCCATCTTTTCATTTTGACTGTAGAGATAAAGCCTCTCAGAGAGATTTTTCCCTCAAAGATAGGTTTTTTTCTCACTTGAGCTGGGAGATTATTGCTTCTCCCTTGTGGCCTGCTCACGGTTCTAAATGATACAGAAAACTAATAAATTCTCTGCCATGCCCAAGTTCTCTGTCTGGCCTGATTCTACCATCAAGGGCTTGATTTCCAATAGTGGCACAAACCTTCACTTTCTGTCTGGAGCTGGTCTTTTATGTTCAGATTAATCGGTCCTTGCTGCAGTTTACCTCCATTAGCAAGTTCCAAACTGGTTTTCCATGTCCCCCCCTGTCAGTATATGGAAACTACGTTCCTGGTCCACCTGTCTTGCCAGTCCAGAGTAGAGTGTTATATGTGGACTTCCCAGCCTGCCCTGGATGCTTTTTAAGCTGCTGTCACAACAAAGATTTAATCTCTGACTCCAAACTACTGCTCAGAAGTTCCTGGGGAACTTCCAGATGATGCTTAAATTCTTTTTGTAAAGCCTCTAACTCCTGGTTTAAGTCTCCTTCTAATTCCCTTTATGCCATCTTCGATTTCTGTGAGCACAGACATTTCCTTCATCTTCATTTAACAGGGATACCAGATTTCAAAATCTCTTTGAAAACTATGGGCACCTGCAGGCGTGTGGGGAAGCTGTTCTGACTCACTATACAGCGCATCAAAGCAGACACCATTAATCGAGTCTGCGTCTCGTGTATCAGCATTCCTGCACTTCAAAATGGCAGTGGGGGCACTTTAAAGCTCATCTGAGCTTTAGTTAAAGCACCTCTGTCACTTTTTTGAAGCACAGGGGACACTGATACATGAGACTGTGCAGGTGCTCTAATTGAAGCTTCCCACCCACCCCTAGAGTACGTGTAAAAATGCCCTATAACCCTAAGTCTGATACCAGTGTTATTACCATCTGACTAAGTGGTTGCCAAAAACTTTAGTGTCTTGTAGTTGCTCCAAACGAGGAGAAATTGATGTTGGAGTCAGGTGTTTCTTTGATGCTGTCCTGGTTGTTTACAAAAAATGTTGAAAGTTCTGTCTTTCTGAACATACAGGAATCATACAATATGAGACAGTTTCTTTCTTTGCTTATAGCTTCAAAATGCTTTCAGCTGGAATTCAGAGTGGAAGCTCTCACAGCTTTCTTCAGACCTTTTGCCAACCTCCTGGTGCTTGGTTGGACTGCATCTAGTGGTTCCTTGCTGTCTTCTTTCTGATTGTCTGGGCTTTGCTGCCTCTTTCACAGATGTGCAGGACTTGCACAAACTACTTGATTGAAAAACAAACAAAACACTCATTTTTAAAAATTCCTGTTTTCACTGTAGTTCCCTTTCTTATGTGCTCTGACCTGAATTTTGTTGTTGCTGTTGTTTTAAAGGGATGTTTTAAAATTATTAAAGTAACTTAAAAGCTTCCTTATAAATATCTATGAAGGATCTCTTAAGCAAAAGAGAAACTGATTAGACAGGGCAAAACAGTCAAACTGGCCACACACATGCTGCCCAGCACGTTTCCCTATGCTTCCTGCTGCACAGAGGGGCAGGAGGAGCCACTGGAAGGGGGAGGGAATTGAGCAGTGCTCAGGCAGCTAAAGCCCCACCAGGAAGCTGTGTGGTCTGGCAGGCATTGGGTGGGTGTGAATGTGTCATGGGCAGGAGCAGGTAGGACTCGGGGGCAGTCATGGGCTGAGGGGGGATGGGGACGACTGACTGCACCTGCATCTGAACCCTACCTGGGTGAGCTCTGCTGAATGCAATTTCCTTTCCCTCCATTCCCAGATTTCAGTTTGCAATTGACAATTTTTTTTTTTGTCTTAACAAAAAGATTTGTTTCTTAACTCTGTTCTTTCCTTTTTAGGTCATGAGCCTGGACTTGTACAGATGGTAAATTACTACAGGGGAGCTGACAAACTTTGCCGCAAAGCTTCTTTAGTAAAGTAAGAGCTTTGTTTAAGTTGTTAAGTAGTTGTGGTCTTCCCTACGCATTGTTCGGGGGCTGGGGTAGGGGTGGGTTCCCTTGAGTGTCTTAGCCTGCTGGGTTTGCAAAAGTTGCCCAATGGGCTTGCTGTGACGGTAGTTCCCCCCATCCCCTGGCAGGCTTAGTTTAGAGCCCAGTCCAGCAGGTCAGCCATTCTGGCTGAGAAGAGCCTTCTCCCCAGTGCAGTGAAGTAGAGGCCGTCTCTTCCCAGCAGACCACTGCCTCTCTCATCAAAGAGCGGGCTGTGATCATGGAAGCCGAAGCCTTCACAATGAAACCAGCACCATATTTTTTGGTTCACCACCTCAATCCTCTTCTCCCTCCTCAGCCCATAACCTGAAACTGGGAGGATCCAGGAAAACACCACCTGCGGCCCCAACCCCCTAAGCCCTGCTCCCAAAGCCCTGTAGCCTCTCATGACCCAGCTGGGATTGCTCTGAGCTGTGTCATTCATGCCCATGTGGGTAAGGAGCATAGGGTAGTGGTAAGTGGGCTGGATGAGCTTTGGGATCCTCTCTGCTATGTCCCGGATACGGGCTCCTGGGAGGCAGCAGACCTCCTGGGCTAAGTGGTCAGGGTGGCAGAGTACCCCCTCAGGAGAGAGTCTCCTACAATGACCGCTCTATGTGTGGCTTTAGGGATAGCAGGGATGGTAGCTGTGAGTGGTCCTCCCTTGCCTGCAGGAGCTGGCAGCTCTGCAGGCTCTACTGGGCCTGCAAGAGGCTCATACCTGTAACAAACCTCCAGAAGGGAAGGGACCCTGGTGCAGCTGGCCTTGGAGCCATTGACTACCTTTGTCCAACCCCCTGGCTGGACAGTGAGAAATCCTTGAGTCCTCCCTTGTCCAAAAAAGTTACCTTGGTTTACCTTCAGCCTTCAGGGGGTGAAGGGCCTGGCAGTAGGAGTCTATCTCCTGCTCACCATCCCTGATGGTATGCAGTCTCTCAACTGTGGTCTGGAGCTCTTCCATCTGGTGCCCCAGAGACTCCAAAGTGGAGCAAACCTCGCAAGGGGAGGTGGCCACACTCCTGGTCCCATGTGCCTGGAATCGTGTCAGGCAGCCCCCGCAGCTGAGAGTGAGAGACTTGGTGTGGGGGGAAATCTCAGAATGAAAGGCAAACCTTGCTATATTCCCTCATCTCCTTTGGTTCCTAATGGACCTGATCCAACGCCCTGCCAAAGATAGTGGAAAATTTTCCACTGATGCGGGTGGGTATGGGTTCCAGTCCTTCACACCCTCTTGGAAAAAATGTGATTTGGTAACATCTTTATTAGAAAGAGGAGTGATCAAAAACACCAGTAGGAGAGAGGCATTTATATGAATATTAATCTTGCAGTATCACTATCATTGATCATTTTTAAGTATTATATTTCAACTATTTTTCCCTCCAGTTTTTAAGAAACTTCATCAAAAATATGCATCATAAAAATATTTAGTATAGACTGTGCTTAAACCCAGGGCTGTCCAACTTCTGAGTGGCCAGGGGCTGCATTAACCAATCCTCACCAGCAGAAGAAGGCCTAAAAATGTAATCGTAATTATATTTATTGTAATTTTGTTGTCACATATGCTGATTTCCTATGGATTTAACCAGTCTAACAGACTGCCTCCTCCAACCAGGCTCATCAAGACCAGTCCTGAGTTATCAGAATCTTGCACGTGGTTCCCAGAGTCTTATGTGATATACCCAACCGATCTGAAGACTCCAGTGGCCCCTGCTCAAAATGGAATTCACCATCTTATAAACAACACCAGGACAGATGAAAGAGAAGTGTTCCTAGCATCCTACAACAGGAGAAAGGAGAGCGGGGAGGGCAATGTGTGGATAGCCAAGTCCTCTGCAGGTGCCAAAGGTTCGTTTTCTGTTGCAATACCCCAACTTCGCTTTGTTCCTGTTGTTTAAAAAAAACAGTATGTGGATGACCTATCACCCAGCTTTCACCCACTCAGAGTAATCATGTACTCAGTTCTGCTGTATCTGTATAGCAGCTGTGGCAGCAAAATTGTAACGCTTTTTACTTAAATGTGATACATTTTCCTGACTTCAAACATGAGTCTGTGTCAGTTGGTGAAGTGAAAGAAACTGCAGTATTCAGCACAGAGAAACAGAAGCTAAGGGAGAAAATTGGAAAGAAATGTAGAATGCAGTCTGAATTGTCTGGAAAAGTCCAGGAAGCCTATTTGAACCATTTCTGACAATAAACAAAGTTTATTGGTTAGGTTAACCCTCTGCATAAGGGGTTAGCACTCTACAGGCCAGTTCCAGCCCATAGAGCCATTTGTTTTGGCCCATGGACTTCAGCACCATTGAGTGGTGGTGGGGGTTTGGCATCCATTGCTGTTCCCATGCTGCTGCTGGGAAAGGCAGTGGCAGCAGCTGGGTCCTACCACCTGCCCTCCCCCCTTGCTTCTAACTCAGACAGAATCAATTCAGCTCACAGACTAAAAGGTTGCTGATCACTACTCTAAACTTTTAAAAAAGCCCAGGTCCGGGTCTGTTCTGCCTGCTGAACATCTGTGCACAGCTCTTCCATTCTTGCAGCCTAGTGTGTCTCCAGAGCATGTTAGTGTGCAGCTGGAGGTTATCTACCAACGGTCAAAAGGAAATGCCAGGTATGTGGTGGAAGGGAAGAGGGTGAGTGTCAACTCATCAGGTATCTGCCTCAGGGCAGCACAGTACATGCTTCCATCTTGGAACCCTACTCTGCCCTGGGTGGGGGAGAAGGAAGAACCACTGGCTACCTCTTTTCTGTCTATTGGTAAGGGCATTGTCCCAGAAGACCTGGAATCTAGGCTCCTCAGCGACAGGGGATTTGAACCCACATCTTCCATTTCCAAGGAGAGTGCCCTGGCTGCCACACTGTGAGTAAGCAGGCCTAAGACTATCTTCCATCCTTCCTGTTGAAACTGAACCACTGGATGAAAGGGAATGCAAGAGTCGTGGACCAGAAAGAGAGCAAACATGGGATTCTGAGCAAAGCTCATGGAGAGGGCACTACCCTGAGACAGAGGGGAGCTTGGTTTCTGGTGCCTGCTTCGAAGGCTGTCTTTCCATTTTGCATTAAACAGTCATTGAGTAAAATGCATAAACAACCTTGGGAGCAGGATTAAAAGCTAGAAGAATTGGGAAGGCTGAACTAAGTGATCTTGGGGGCCACTTCAAGCACAGAGCTGTGGTGATGATGTGTGTTCCCACCAAACTGACTAATGTGGGAAAGGCCTGTGTGCTGCATGTTTCCTTATTGTGTGGTTTGTAGGGTCCTAGCTCCCAATTCTGTGTTCCACAGAGATCCCTTTGATCCTGGCTATACTTTGGAAACAACAGATTTTGTCTCTTTTCGTATTGTTCTGTGACACAACAGTGATAAATAATGCAACAATGTTTGTTAATTGTCTCTTACAATATTTCTGTGCAGTAATTTGAACAACTTTGGGGGGTGGGGGCAGGGGTGGAGGGAGGAGAAAATGGAGGCTAAAAAGCACAAGTTTTTGAGAAGATTTAGCCAGGAAGACCCTGAGAACTCTATGTGCATGGATGTTTCAAAGTCTCAATGTGCATGATAGACTGTCACTCTTACAAATATAACCTTTTTGTCTGGGAGCCTGGTTATCACTAGGAACCTTGAAGGACATGTGTATCAGCCATTGAAATTTGCTTTAATTTACATTTTTGTTTTTATGTTAGGTGAAGGAATTCTAATTTCTTCAGAGGCTACTGAACTTTTGGACTTTATAGATGAACAAGGACAAGTGCATGTGATTCAGAAATACCTTGAAAAACCTTTACTCTTAGAGCCAGGTCATCGCAAATTTGATATTAGGTAACCTTTTCTACTTACATTTTGATTGCTTTCCTGAGCCCAAAAGATGTGTGTGGAGGAGGGGAGGTGGAGGAGTATAATGTAGCTGGAAAAAAGCATAATGGTTCACATGCATTTTATCTAATTTAAAAAAATGACTTAATGTTGTTTTTTTTTCCTCCTAATTTTTAGAAGCTGGGTTCTAGTGGATCACCAGTATAATATCTACCTCTACAGAGAGGGTGTCCTCCGGACCTCTTCAGAACCGTACAATAGTGCTAATTTCCAAGACAAAACCTGCCATTTGACCAATCACTGCATCCAGAAGGAATATTCTAAAAACTATGGAAAATATGAAGAGGGGAATGAAATGTTCTTTGAAGAATTTAATCAGTATCTGATAAGTTCTTTGAACACTACGTTGGAGAGTAGTATTTTATCACAAATCAAAAACATAATAAGGTAATTTCTTGCTGCTGCTGTTTGCTTGTGTTATGGTCATGTTCAGAGGTACAGCCAGGATCCCATTGCAATACAGGTAATACATTCCATGCAGTCTCAGTAGACCCTGGAGACAAAAGAACTGTCCCTGTTTCCTAAACGTAGGATGAGGCATGGGGATTAAGTGATTGCTTGAGGTATCACAGGATGCAGCTATACACAGGAATTTGATCCAAGATCTGTAGGGTCTCAGACCAGTGCCAAAGGGTGTGTCTGCACTCCAAATACATGTCTGATGCTCTCAGACATATGCTACATTGTTTTGCTTGCGTGCCATCTCCCAAGCAGGAGGCAAAGCAGCCACAGCCATGCAACAGGATGGGTGGATGTGTCAACTGGCTGTCCTTCTGATCAGTGCTAATTAGTCCACCTAGAGAGCCATACAGATGTGGCTACACTGCTGATGTGAGCAGTAGTGCTTGTGGAGTAGAATGGCACCTGTGAGTTTGCTGCTGCCTGGGACAATAAGTATGGACGTGGCCTCAGTCTTGCTCTCTTGAATGTCTGGCTCCTGGGACTCAGAAAGTCTGTTTGAATTAATAGTCAGGGGGGAAATATTTTGTATTTGGGGGTTGATAATTTAATTTCACTCTACTTTTATGTTAGATTGTGTGAGTCTTTGTGTTTTCTGGGGTTTATTAGAATATGAATTGTAGGAGATCATTCAGAAGTTGCTGCTGTTTTCAGTTTAAAAGAGCATGAGGTGTTTACAAGCTCTGGGGAAAATATGGATTCTGCTCAGAAAAGCTCTGATCTCAAGGTTGTTACTCCTCTTCTCAGTAGCCTTTGCTCCCTGAGTCTGGTCACTGAAGTCAGTGAAACCAGTTCCCTTGATTAAGGCCCTACAGGATCAGTCTCCTTCATTGCGCCACATACAATGGGCAGAGGGAAGAAAACAGTCACTTTAACACAGTCTGCTAAAGTGAAATATCTGATCTCTTTTTGATTTACGAGCTTTCTGTGGATAGTGGGACAAACAGTTTTTTGATAGCTACATAATTTCAATTCAAAACAAAATGGAAAACAAGAAAACAAATACAGACCTGTGTGTCTGTATTTCATGTGGAATGAATGCCACTGCATAGGGCTTCTGTACAGGGATTGTGTGTTTTATAATGCTTTGCTGATTCATAGTATTAACACCTGTTTTCATAGGCAGTTTAAATTTCTTTTTCTTTTTTTTTTTAAAGAAATGTCTGTCCTAAAACAGTAGATAAACTGTTGCTTGTACGGACAACACAAGTATATGCTCGCGCGCTTTCTCACATGCACATGCACACACATGTGCGCGCACATGCGCACACACACACGTAAGCATATGTACACAGAGTGTGTGTGTGCGCATGGGTGTTTGTTTATAAGGGTGATATCACCCTGAGAAATCCTTGGCTGCTGCATAATTTCTGGGCCATCATGACTACAATATCACTCTTACACTCCTGTGTTTATAAATACACTAGCCAATTGCCTGTCAAGAATGATTGGGGAGGGGGGGTGGGGATGGAGCCCTGGGTCCCCCCTATCCGGGCCCATTCCCCCTTCCCTCCTGCTACTTGGGGTCTGGGCCCACTCCTTACCCCCGCCTCCCCCCCCCCTCCACTGCAGCAGCAGGGAAAAGGGTGGAGCAGGCCCGGGTCCAAGGGTGGGGAGAAGCCAGGCTGCCATAGCAGGGGGATGGGAGGAGCGGGCTCGGGACCAACGCGGGGGTGGGGGAGGAGTGGACCCTGAACCAACGGGCAGGAGGCTCGCTCCTCCGCTTGCCCCGCAGCTGCCGTGTTGGGCTGGGCTGGGTTGGGCCAGGCCTGCGGCCACCCCCTGCCACCCAGGCCCACTCCCCACCCCCCACACACACACATTGGGCCCGGGTCTGTTTCCCACCACCCCTCAAATTACCTGCAGGAATCAGGGCTGGCTTGACTGCCCCCCCCCATCTGCTCTATTGCTGTTGCCTTCTGTCAGTATGCTTCTTCGCGCTCTGATTGGCTGTTTCTGTCAGCCAATCGGAGCATGAATAAAGCATTACGGATGGACAGACAGACTTAGGCTTTTATAATATTAGAATTTTATGTTTAAAACTAGCAAATTGCCTGTCATGAATGATGGGGAGGGCAGGTGGAGATGCAGCGCTGCCACCCAGTGCCGCACGGTGCCACCACTCCACCTCTGGCCCCATGCACCAGAGTGGGGCAGGCCAGCGCTGTGCTGCCAGCACCCTGCTCTGTCCCCGCCTCCATGGAGGTGCTCTGCCATCCCAGTCTGTCCCTGCCATCCCCTTCTGCCTCCAAGGAGCCTTGGTACATGCAAAGGAAGGTTGGGGGAACTGGGCAAGGAAATTTGGATAAGGCTTCTATATGAGGGAAATGGGGAAGACCTGAGATCAAACAAAGAGTAGAGCAGGAGAGACTCAATATGGCCAGCAAAGAGAGTGGAACTGGTGTTGCAGTTAAAAACAGGCTTTTAAGGGTGCATTTGCCATCATCTTTGAAAACTCATGGTGATCAGGACAGGTCCCGGACGATTAGAAAAAGGCAACCATAGTGCCCGTATTTAAGAAAGGGAAAAAGGAGGATCCAGGGAATTACAGACCAGTCAGCCACACATCAGTCCCTGGAAAAATAATGGAGCAGATCCTCAAGGAATCCATTTCTAAGCGCTGGGAGAAGAAAAGGGTTATTAAGAACAGTCAGCATGGATTCATCGAAGGCAAGTCATGCCTGACCAACCTGACTGCCTTCTGTGATGATATGAATGGCTCTGGGAGGTCGTAGGGGTTGTGTGCCCCCGGATCTGCACACAGAGCAGGGAAGGCTGCCTCTGTGGGCTGAGGCTGGGGTGGCACTAGGCTGTTCCCAGCAGTGGGCTGAGCCAGGCTGTGCTCAGGGTGGGCAGTAGCGGCACTGGGAGGCTATGGGAGCTGCTGCAGCCACCTCAGAATTTGGCATAGCCCCCTATCTCCCTCCTAGTGCCGCCTGTTCCAACACCCACTCTGGGAAGAGCCTGGAGCTGCCCTGGCCCCAGCCCACGGTGGCAGCCCACCCACACGCAGATTCGGAGGCACTTGCTCCCCATCCCTCATACCCTCCCAGGGTGCATGCAGCAGCAGAAGCACAGAATACACTCCCCCTGCCCTGCCATTCAGATCCTCATGGCTCTGCGGGAAGGGAGTGGCTGCAGAACCTCTTCACTGTAGTCTGCTGGCTGAGGGTGGCAGCCCAGCGGCCAATCATGAGAGTGGGCTGGGGTGGAGGGGTGGGGAGGCGCTGTGATGTGCTGTGTGGAGCCAGTGGGGCCTTGCATGTCCCTCCCCTAGGTAAGAGGCAAAGTGTGGGAACGCACCACGGGAGATACTGCTGCCATGCTGCAGGATGTGGTCCAGCCCCGCCTGCCTGCCCACACATACTCTCTACAGTCTTTCTAGGTACCTCTAGGGGTATGCATACCCCCAGTTGACAACCCCTGACTTAGACAAATTGGAGGATTGGGCCAGAAGGAATCTCATGAGGTTCAACAAGGACAAGTGCAAAGTCCTGCACTTATGACAGAAGAATCTCATGCACCAGTACAAGTTGGGGGCTGACTGGCTGGGCAGCAGCTCTGCAGAAAAGGACCTGGGGGTTACAGTGGACAATAAGCTGCATATTAGTCAACAGTGTACCCTTGTTGCCAAGAAGGCTAATAGCATACTGGGCTGCATGGGAGGTGTGTTGCCAGTAGGTCAAGGGCAGTGATTATTCTCCTCTATTCAGCACTGGTGAGGCCACATCTGGAGTACTGTGTTCAGGTTTGGGCCCCCCACTACAGAAAGGATTTGGACAAATTGGCAAAGTCCAGAGGAGGACAACAAAAATGGTGAGGGGCCTGGGGGACATGACTTGTGAGGAAAGACTGAGGGAACTGGGCATATTTAGTCTAGAGTAGCGGTTGTCAACCCAGGGTACCCATACCCCTAGAGGTACTTAAAAGGGTCACAGGGAGCACACAGAATACCGTGTGAGCATGCACACGCAGCCACAGCACAGCACATGGGCAGCCAGGAATATAGCGCAGCCACGTGGAAAGCAGCTGGGTCCATGTGGTAAGTTTGTTGTGGGGGGAGGAAGAGGGGCTGGGGCAGCGGCTACCCAGGCAGAGCAAGGCGTGGGACTGAGCTGCATGCAGCAAAGTGTGGGGTTGGCTTCCGCCACTATACACACCCTGGGAGGGCATGGGGGGAATGTGCCCCCAGATCTGTGCGCAGGGCAGGCTAGGGCCGGGGCCATATTGGGTTCTTCTCAGCAGAGGGCTGGGCCAGGCTGCATTCGGGGCAGGCGGCATCGGGTGGGGGTTTGGAGGGGCTACAGTGAATTCTAAAGTGACTGTGACCCCACCCCCAATAACCCTGCTCCCATAGGTCTCCATGGTGAGGGAGGGAGTGGTGCTGGAGCGGGGCAAGAGCTGCACAGCCAGGGTGCAGCATGGGACAGAACCGCGAGTGGTTTGTCCAGGGATCGTGGTGGGTGGCAGCTGAAGCCTCTACACACATCCCTGGAGGGCAAGTGGGGGGGCGCATGCCCCCAGATCTGCAGGCTGGGGCCAAGGCAGCACCGGGCTGTTTCTGGCGGGTGTGTTGGGCTGGGCTGCGCTGGGAGGGGGTGTTAGCAGGGGTGGGCTACAGTGAATTCTGGGGTGGCTGCAGTCCATCCCTTAGCCCTACTCCCAGTGCTGCCACCACCTGCCCCAAGCACAGCCCCAACCCGCCTACGCCCCATGCCCTGATCCAGAGGCACACCCCCCACATGACCTCCCGGGGTGTGTGCAGCAGCAGGACCTGCCACCCCCCACAGCTTGGACAAGCTGCTCACGGCTCTGTTCCATGCTCTGCCCCAGCTGGGCAGCACCTGTCCCAGTTGCAGCCCCAGCCCCACTCCCTCCCTCAACATGGGGGGCCTACAGGAGCAGAGCTATGGGGGAGGCTGCAACCACTCTAGAATTCAACATAGCCCCTTGAACCCCCCTCCTAGCGCTGCCTACCCCAAGCACAACCAGGCTCGGCACCCCGCCAGGAAGAGCTCAGCTCCCAGCCTGAAGCACCAGCCTGCCTGCCCACCCACCCCCAGCGTAGATCTGGGGGCACACCCTCCATGACCTCCCAGGGTGCACACAGCAGTGGAAACCACCCACCATCCCTGCAGCTCTGCCCCACACCCTGCCCTGCCCCAGCTAAGCAGTGTCTGCTCCTGCCCCACTCCCTCCCTCACTACAGGGCCTCAATCTGCACCCCCCCCCCTTAAAAATGAGAAAAAAATATAAAGGGGTGCATGAGGTGAAACTTTGATACAGAAGAGGTACATTTGTTAAAAAAAAAAAGTTGAAAACCCCTGGTCTAGAGAAGAGAAGACTGAGGAGGGATTTAATAGCAACCTTTAACTACCTGAAGGGGGTTTGAAAGAGGATGGAACTGGACTGTTCTCAATGGTGGCAGATGACAGGACAGGGAGCAGTAGTCTCAAGTTGCAGCAAGGGAAGTTTAGGTTAGACATTAGGAAGAATTTTGTCACTAGGAGGGTAGTAAAACACCGGAACAGGTTACCTAGAGAGGTGGTGGAAGCTCCATCCTTGGAGGTTTTCAAAACCTGGGTAGACAGAGTTTTGGCTGGGACAGTCTAGTTGGGGATGGTCCTTCTTTGAGCATGGGGTTGGACTAGATGACTTCCTGAGGTCCCATCCAGCCCTCACTTTCTGTGATTCTATGGTTGCAGCCATCAGCAGAGTTTGATTTTCTTTATGACAGACTTGTTACCACAACCCAGTCTTGCCTCAGTCACTGTCTGGTATTTTTGTGCAAGAGGGACTGTTATTTTGTATTTCATATCCAAGCTTTCACAGCCATTGCTGGGACTGGGACTTGGACTTGAAGGGAACAGGAGGATCAGTTGAGAAGCCCTAGGAAGTGGAATTAAGATGGTCTGGACAAGCAGCCTGGAATATGGAGGATGTGGGGGACTGGGATTGGATGGGAAAAGGTAAGGAAGACTGAGATTGGATGATGAGCCTGGAGGCGGGAGACTAGTGCTCTTTGAAGAAGGAAGACCAGGATGCAAAGTCTTGCATGGATGCAGATGAGGAGACTAGTGGCACAGGTTGGAGGGTATGGGGTAAAAGGTGAGGTTGAGGAGTAGGTAAGGACAGAAGGGTCTTAACCCTCAGAGCCCATTCAACTCTAGGCCCTGAAAGGAGCCCTGGACCCTAATCTGGTAGCAAGGGCAGGCCATGGTCCACAAATCAGTAGTTGCTCAATATTTTGTTTTCACTGTTCCAAGGGTGTAGGTAACGTTATGAATGGAAACGAAAGCTATTCAGACTGCAGACAGGAGGCTGTAGCATGATCTCTGTTGTTTATATTTGTTTTGTAATATACAGTCTTTGCTGAAATGAAGAGGACTAAGGGTGCCACTTGACTTGGTTACAACTGCTTGTTTGACTCTGGTCCCTCACTTCTTTGTCAGATTACGGGATTCACTCACTGTCAGGCTTCTTATGACAGGAAACCTCTCTGGTATAGAACAACCAAAGTGCAGCTTGATATCTAGTAAGAGTTGACATAGCTGGGTGCTAGTTGAAGGGTTCAAATGGGGTTCTAATAAGTGGCTGTATTTCTGACTCGAGGGCTCTCCCTCCAGTCTTTCCTTCATTTAATTTGTCTCAGAAAGCCCTGTTTCTTGCATGGTTTTTGTGGGATCAGCAGAGCCGTCCCTAGGAAGGGGGCAAATTGGGGCAACTGCCCCAAGCCCTGCACCTCGAGGGCCCTGCAGAGCTGGAGAGCAGCTGCAGTGACTCCACACTGCTGCTGGCTTCCCATCTGGCTGCTCAGCACCCATCTCCCCTGCCAAATCCACCACCTCTGGTCATTCAGCAAACCACCCCCACCGCCTCCCACCACTGAATCCGCCATCAGCTTCCCTGTGATTGGGGCCCTGCACAGGCTGATTTGCCCTGGGCCCCGTGCCCTGCTCAAGTCGTCTTTGAGGATCAGCATAGCACTGAGCAGCTAAATCACAGCCAGTTTTGGGCTCCACAATTCAAAAAGGATGTGGAGAAGCTTGAGAGAGTCCAGAAGAGAGTCACACGCATGATCAGAAGTCAGGAAAACTGACCTGATGATGAGAGGCTGAGAACTACAGGACTCTTCAGCCTGGAAAAGCGCAGGCTCGGGTGATCTGGTGGCCACCTATAAGTTTATCAGGGGTGTTCACCAGGATCTGGGGGAACATCTGTTCACCAGAGCACCCCAGGGGATGACAAGGTCAAATGGTCACAAACTCCTTTAGGACTGTTTCAGGCTGGACATAAAGAAAAATTTCTTTACAGTCCAAGCCCCCAAGGTCTGAAATAGACTGCCGCCAGAGGTGATTCAAGCTCCTATTTTGAACACCTTCAAGAGAAATTTGGATGTTTATCTTGCTGGGATCCTATGACTCCTGCTGACTTCCTGCCCCTGGGGCAGGAGGCTGGACTCGATCTTCCAAGGTGCCTTCCAGCCCTAATGTCTATGAAATCTAAGATTAATGGTTATATACTGATAACAGTATCATGAGCAGTAGTAGGGGTGACATAGCTAAAGCCCCTGCATTGCTGAAAAATGACCCAGGTGCCAATTAAATATGTGCTTGTTTTGCCATGATGAAAACCCAAGCTAACACTACAAAGAGTTTGTCGGTAGATCCACATATGTATGCTTATATTTTGCATGTACGTGTAGTATAAGTAGACATATATTCTCTACACCTTTTCATTAAAGCACCACAGCCAGTGAATAACAAGCAAGACTGTCTGCTTGAGAGAGAGAGAGAGAAAGAGAAATAAATCTTCTTATAATGGATAACGAGCATTAATTTGGAGTTGAGCAGTCACTTGCACAATTGGGTTACGTGGTAGTTTTGTTGTTCTCAATGGGAAAGTGCTTTTGTGGACAGCATGTTTAGCATTCTGTTGTGCATCCCTCTGACAGGGGTTTGGCCTTAAATTCCATTTCACTTGTATCAGATAACACAAAAAACACTTGCCAAGTATCACAGCAACACCAAGAGCAGCTGCAGGGTTATGTTTAGGGATACGCTTGGACAAGGTTTGGTTTCCAACCTGCTTTGTCCTCATGAGCATTTCTTTTTTTAAGCCTGTGTTGTTCTGAAGTGTCACAGCCACATTTGGGCCTGGTCCAACATGATGGAAAGACTTCAGCAGGATTGGGATTAGACCTTTACTTAGCAAATACAGAGATATGCTTCAAAAGAAGTCAGATTTTTTTAAATAATCCAACCCTTTTTGGCTGCCTGCCATAGAAAAACTAAACTATGGGAGGAACACAGCTGTTGCTAGTCAGCACGGGAGATGTGATTTCCATTAGCTTCTCCCTGTGTCAGGTGGTATACCTAATTCCTATGCTGTATGTATACTCCAGGTTTCTAAACTACTGCTGTATTTATACTTGGGTTTGTATCTCTCTCTTCACAGAAGCTGCCTTATGTGTATAGAGCCTGCAATCAGCACTAAACACCTTCACTACCAGAGTTTCCAGCTCTTTGGCTTTGACTTCATGGTTGATGAGGAACTGAAGGTCTGGCTAATTGAGGTCAATGGGGCTCCAGCTTGTGCCCAGTAAGCATTTTATTTCTGTAGTATGATAGTATTGTCCCATATATGAAATGGTACAGCTCTCGGTCTTTTGTGTTTGTAGTTCTGGAGAAGGCTTTCACTTTCCTTTCTACATGATGAATGGCTCTGGTACCTGTAGCTGAGACCAGATGTTTTACTCCAGTATGTAACCTGCTGCTCCCAGTGCTTGGCTTTCCAAATTCCCTCTAGAAGTGAGCTCCTTACTCTGTGTGGGGAAGGGGATTTTGTGGGGATCTGGTAAAGGGCTCCTCCTGCTTTAGTAGTGCAGTAACTGCAGCCACATGGGTGAATCCTGCCTCTGTGCAGGAAGGCAGGTTGCTCTGAGCTCAACTGCATTAATTTAATTTCCAAATGTCTTCAGTTAGAATTTGTTGTTGCTGTTCATCTCCCCAAGCAAAGCAGCAGCCCGGGATGAGGACTTCAGTGAAGAAGGTTAGGCAGGTCCAGAATGTGTGTGTGTGTTGTGTACATGTTTGTGCATGTGCATTTTGCCCACACCAAAGTTAAAACGAATGGGTAGGGTCACTTCCTTCCCTTCCTCCCTACCACAGAAGATCAAAGGCTTTTGCTTCTGCCCCTGTGCCGAGCCCACATGAGACAAATGAAAAATGTAAATGGAATCTATGACTGTTAGGTTCCTCTAATTCTACTGGAGAAAATAATAAGACATGTATAGGATTAGTTTACAGGGCTTTCCAAACTTTGGGATGTGAGTTCAGTCCTCTATCAAGGCCCTTACAGCATTTTTAAAAAATAATTCATGCATTAATGAAATCTGGGAATTCAGGAAAGAGACCCTGGAGAAATTGTAGATAGTTCTCTAAAAACATCAGCCCAACGAGCAGCAGCAACCAAAAAGCCCCTCAGAATCTTAGAAAATTAATTTTAGAAGGGACCTCAGGTCTTCCAGTCTGCACCCTCTGCTCAAGGCAGATCATCCTTATCTAAGCCATCCTAGACAAGTGCCTGTCTAACCAACTTCTATGCAACAACCCTGTTGCACAACTAAAAAGCACATTGACCCAAAATGCCAACAGCCCTCTAACCTGCCACAGGTAAAACAGGGAGATGAGGGTAGTGTCAGTGTCCTGTTGTTGCAAATATTGTTAAAATACATTCAGGATATTCAAGGAAGAGAACCATGCTCCCCACTACAGAGGAAGACAAAAAACCCACAGTCCATGCCAACCTGACCATGAGGTAAAATTCCTTTTTAATTCCAAATATGATAATCATTCTGACCATGAACAGAGGAGCATGAACCTCTAACCAAGAAGCTCCCAAGTTTTAGTTCCTCCAGGAGAATCAGTACACCCCTGTCAAAAGCCCCAGCCTTGGCTGCAGCCAACACCTACAGCTGAGGAAGTGGGGAAAAGCCCTTGACATCTTTAGCAACAGGAAGGGAAATTTCCTTCTTGGCTCCAGGTGGCAACCAACAAAGCCCAGAAGCATGAAAAAAACAAAACACCCTCCACTCATCTCCATAATCTGGGGACAGCAAACAACTCCACATATCACATTTCATAACTAGAGTGCCAGAATGCCCCTTTCTGTCATTCTGTCCTTTCCATAAACTTATCCAGCACCTTTAATCTTTCATAGCTAAGCCAGTTGTGGAGCTCTGCTTTTTTCTCCTACTGCTGTGCATTATTCTCTCCAATGACCATCTGTTCTTGCCTGCAGAGCATTTCTTGTGATCTCCCAGTGATCTGTGTAGGGGGTTCTGGGTTGTCAATTGTTACACTTCACAAGACACTCAAGGCACTGCCACTCCTAGATCATCCTTGAACAATGCTTGTCTAACCTTTTTTAAAGTCTTCAATGAAAGAGATTCCACAACTTACCTAGGCAATCTGTTCCATTGCCTCAGTGCTCTAAGAGCAAACAAGCTTTTCCAGATATCCAATTAAAACTTATTTTGCTGCATTTTCAAACCGTTGCTATGCATCCTACTCTCTGCAGTGATGGATTACTGGTGTTCTTTATGACAGCCCTTCAGATATTTGAAGACTGGTATCATGTGCCCGCTTAAGCTACTTTTCTGCAAGGTGAACATGGCTATTTCTTTCAGCTTTTCCTCTTGGGTAGCCTCTAAGCCCTTTACATTTTGTTACCTACTTCTGGGCCCTCTCTAACTTTTCCATATCCTTTTTAAAACGAAGAGGCCAGAACTGCACACAGTAATTTAGATGAGACCTAACCAGTACTGAGTAAAGAGGCACTGTCACCTCCCATGTCTTGGACCTAGTACTTCTGCTGATGAAGCCCAAAACTACATATGCCTTTTTTTGCAGCTGCATCACATTGCAAAGTCATACTGAGTTTGTGATCCATCAAGACTCCTAAATACTTCTTCATAAATGCTACCTTGCAGCCCATTATCAGCTATCTTGTATTTGTTTTTGATTATTCTTCCCACGGTGTAACACCTTGCACTTATCAGTATTGAACATCATCCTATTGGTTCTAGCCCATCTTTCCAATCTATCCAGAACCATGTGCATTGTGCCCCCATCCTTCATTGAATTTGTAGTCTTTCCCAGCTTTCTGCTCTCTTCAGATTTGCTGAGGAAGCTTTCTATTCCAGTATCCAAGTTACTACTAAACATGTTGAATAGCACTGGGCCCAGGACAGATTCCTGTGGGACTCCACTTGAAACCTCCTACCTTTCTGATGTGGATCCATTTATATTGTCTAGCCCATGTTTCTCCAATTTGGTTATGAGAATGTCATGTGGGATTTTATCAAAGGCCTCACTGAAGTCCAGTTACCCTATACTCACTGCATTCCCTTCATCTGCTTGGCTAGTTACTTTGTTGAAGAAGGACATCAAATTTTTTTGGCACAATTTGTTCTTGACAAAACTATGCTGACTGCTCAAGACCATCCTTTCCTTCTGCAAATGCTAACAAATGGACTTCCTTATAATATGCTCCAGTAGTTTACCAGGTATTGAGGTCAGGCTTCCTGTCTGTAATTCCCTGGGTCCTCCTTTTTGCCTTTAAAAAAAAAAAAAACCAAAAAAAGAGAGGCACTATGTTGGCCCTTTTCCAGGGGTGTATCATTAAGAATGGAATTGAAAATGAAACAAAACACATCATCACGCCACTATGTAAATCCACGTTGTGCCCACATCTTGAAGACTGCGTGCAGTTCTGGGCTTTTCACCTCAGAAAAGATTAGAAAAAGTACAGAGAAGGACAGCCAAAATAGTTAGGGGTATATGGAGCAGCTGCATGCCAGGAGATGCTAAAAAGGCTAGGACTCTTCACTTTGGAAAGGAAAATGCTGAGGAGGGACATGGTAGATGTCTATAAAATCACAATTGGTGTGGGGAGAGTGAACAGGGAACTGTTATTCTGTAAAGTACTTTTTTACATAGTCTGTTAAAAGTCATTGCCATAGGAGATTGTAGAGGCAGATAGCATAGCCAGGTTCAAAAAGGGACTAGATACATTCATGGATGACAAATCCATAAATAGCTATTAAGCAAAGAAGTCAGGGATGTATCCTCTAATATCCCTAAACCAATGATGGTGTATGCCAGGAAGATTATGACAGAGGATAGATACTCTAGATATACCCTACTGATTTGCTGCCCCTCTAAAGCATCTGTTTACTGCTTTGAACTGTAGATATGAGATTACAATTGAAGCTACATTTTATGGCAGTTTAAGTTCCCTGTTTCAGGCCTTTCAGTAGCTCTTCAATGTGGGCTGCATCCAGGTACAGTTCCTTGTTTCTTTGCAAGCCAAAAAATAGCAAATAGGAATTGATGTTTAAAAACAACCTAGAATGCTAATCATGTACCTGGACAAGAAAGTCAGATAGTACATTTATTCACATACCTAACACACCGTTTCCCCTAAAAATAGCCATCCAAAATTGGGGGCATGCCTTGATCAAGGAAATTGGTTTCTGTATTGGGAAGGAGGTCGGAGTTGCTGGAATGGTGGCAGGGAACTGTGTTCAGCACCAGCGCACCCATGGCTGAACCCTGTGGGCACATGGAGTAGGGGCAGAATCCTATCACTTACCCTACTGTAGGGCTGATAGCTACAGACAGGCTTAATCTTTTCACAGCTGCTGTCAAACAAATCTTTTTTTGTTTCCCTATCATTCTGGCTTCCCAAAACAAGGTGCATATCTTGTTCCGGGGTATATGATACACAAATAAATACACTGTTTCTTTCATGCTAATAATAGCATCACCTTCAGTGGTATACAGCATGAGCACTTTAAGGAAATGATCAAAGCAGTTTGGCCAGAATGTGCAGCCATCCATCCAGAAAGTAATGCTAGCCAGTAGTAGATACTGCCAGTGAAGAAACAAAGATACTATTAAAGCCATAACTCAAAAAGTCAGCAATGACTTAATGCAAGGTGGTTGGATGAACTGGAGAAAATGGGCAGCAGAGAAAGTAAATTCTTATTTAGTGCTGCTTTGGGGATGTAGATATGCAGCTCTAGTTTCAGACTGATTAGTGTTGGGTACTGAAAATTTCCCCTCTTGACTGTATCTGAAAGAAAAACTAAGACTGTTGTGCTCAAGTGACTGAAAGACCCATCTAGAAAGGCAAGGACAGAGATGTAGGAGGCATGTTTTTTGCTGCTTGCTCAGGCAATTACTTTAATGAGAAAAAAAGGGAGAGAACTTTGAAAGTGCAATCATCCTAGACTTCCTGGATACAATAGTTATGCAGCAGACTATTTAAACCTCAGTGACAGAGAAGTAAAGACCTAACACAGTCCAAGCACACCTTGTGAATATTTCATTCACAGCTAGCATCCACCCCATGGTTGGATGAAAAAAGAAGAATGGATGAGCCAACAGTGAAACTCAGGATGATCATCTCTTTGCATTTACATCCAACAACTAAAAGCACTGAAACTTGGAAGCAAGTGTGCTGATTTTTACACCACAGGAGCTTGCAAATAGACCTTCAAATTGCAAATGCTATTGTAGGTATTTTTGGAGCGACATGACACACAACAGGCAGCCTGCACTCTTGCTGTTACCATGGAAATGTGTTTTGGTCTAAATCAGAGGTTCTCAAACTGTGGTCCACATGCCACCACTGGTCTGGCAGCTCCATTCAAGTGGTCTGCAGAAAGGTGACCTAAGGCTAAAGCTGGCAAGCATTACACCTGACTTCCTAGAACTGTGCTCAAAAAAACAGGTACATTCATTGCATTAGAAAGGTAGTAGAATTATGATAGTAGAAGAGTAATGTTGTAGCCATGATGGTCTAGAAATGGTGACGGAGGAGCAGAAGAGTATGGAGAGGCTTCTGACTCCATGAGTCTTAAAAAAAGCATGGTGCTCAGCTTCTTGGCCTTGTGGAGCCTCAAAGGAAACCTTGCTGAGTCAATAAATAGCCTGTGGCTTTGGGTGTAAAATCCTGGCCAGGATTTGGAGGAAGCTCAAGGAAGTGTGTTCCAATTGAGCTAGTTGTGTCCAAACAAGACTGTTTAGGCTCAAGCCCTTCCCTGAAAGAAAAAAAGAGGAAAAGAGATTGTGTTGGCCAAGGCCAGGGCAGGGGGGCTCTGCATTTAGGGTCTACTTAACTGAAGTCCTACTGTGAAGTCCGTCCAAGCCCTTATTGCATGTTGGTGGTGTTCCAAATTAATCTGAAAGCCCTGAAGTAAGAACTAGAAAAGACCTGGAAAAGGGTGTCTGTTCAAAACATGAGCCTCTTAGAAACTTTATGCATCATAGCACCTTGTTGCCATACCTGTCCAGAAGAGTGCATCTCTTTTCTTTCAAGGGAAGTTCCTCAAAGATGTATATAAGCACCAAGGAAGGTCTTCGCTGTGTCAGCCATACTACTATGGGGTTTTGTTTCTGCAAACAGTGCTAAATGAAGCCTAATTGCACAGGTAGAGCTGCAGGAAGCCATTATTGAATTATTTGAGGAAATCAACAACAAGGGCATAAGTGTTTCATTACAGAACTAAATTATTTGAGGGCCAGAGTTGTGCATGTGGATTAAATTAGAACTACCACCATTACTTCAAATGGAGAAGGACTGCATTTTCCCAGCATCCTTTTAAAAACTGGAACCAAAAATAATGGAGAATATGTCATGAGTAAACCCTCTGCTCACCAGAGATCCACCTAAAACCATGGTTGGCAGACAACAGTCGCTTATAAACTGTCACTAAACTGTTCAAAAGAAAAATGCTGAAGTTGTATTTTATTTGATGTGTGGACCCTTTTGTGAAAATTAAAAGATACTTAATTATGATAAATAAGTTTTTACTAAGAACAAATACATCAGATCCTTTTACTTCCAAAATCTGTTAAATCCAATCACATCATATTTAGTTCCTCTGCAGCAGGGGTGTCAACCTCATTCTGTGCTCTGAGCCAAACCCAGGTCATGGGAATCCTTGCAAGCTAGATTCCATGTGGGGCCAGCAGTGGATCCAGCATGGAGCCAGCTGCAGTGAGTGAGGCTTGTGTTTGCACAGCCCTTTTTCATCTTCCTACTGAGGAACATGTCTACCCACAACCAGAGAGTCCTGGGTTCTGTGGCAGGCCACACCCCCACCCTAGCCATGCCTCTCAACTTCTCTAGACCACCAGTAGCCAGCTCCATGGGTCAAATCCAACCTGAAGGCCATATGTTTGACACCTGTGCTCTACAGAAGTTCCTTAATTTGTTTTAGCTATTGAGAGGCACCATGGATAAAAAAAAATTCTGCAGCACTGAAACAGATGGATGTTTACTCAGCTTACCACTCATTCCTCAAAGTCTTTGTCTAGACAAGTACTGGAAGCAATGGACAACCTGAATTAGAAGTTTCACAAGACTATAACCAGTGAATATTGATAGATCTAAAACTTTCATCTAAACAACCTTTGTATGCAATTCATGCTAAATTCAAATCTTTATCAAATATTGCTGCTCCTTACCAGACTGATTGCCCTTTGTTTCATTAATCCACAAATCAGAATTACTGTTTATCCAGCTCTCAAACATGCTAGGCCTCATTTAACTAATGTCTGTGGTTCTTTCATTTTTAACTAATGTCTGTGGTTCTTTCATTTTTAAGATTTTGGGGTAAAAGCAGTAACATTTTGCTTATAATACCATTGGCTTTAAATCTGAAGTTAGGAAAATTCTGTTCTGTGTATAAAGGGACAGCTAACAACAAGGAGGAAGAGCACCTTTTCATATAAGTTTGCTAATCCTAATGAGGAGGGCTTTAAAGCAAGTTCAACAGAGATGAATGTCCATGTGTAAGTAAAGACCAAGGAAACCTGGATTAAGGCCTAGGAAGAGGAGGCAATATGGAGCACCTTAACAAGGTCATAAGAGGAAAATTAGTAGACGCCATCTCCAATGCTTATATACAAATACAAGAAGTACAGGGAATAAACAGGAGGACCTGGGAGTCCTAGCATCTATACAATTATGATTTAATTGGAACAATTGGGACTTGGTGGGATAGTTCACATGACTGGAATATTGATATGAATAGGCATAACTTGTTTGGGAAAGACAGGCAGAGGAAAAAAGGGAGGTAGTGTCATATACATTAAAGATGCATACGTTTCTTTTTCTGGTGATCTGTTAAAAGTCTCTGGGTTAAGATAAAAGGGAAAAAATAACAAGGGAAGATATCACTGTGGCTGCCTACTAAAAACCAACCAACCAGTACAAGAAGATATGGTAAATAAAGCTTTTTAAACAACTAGTGGCAGTTTCCAAATCAAAGGTTTGGTTCCTAGCTAGAAGGTTTTGCCCCTCCACTTAGGGTCAAACTGATTGGGCACTGCACTTCAATCAAGATATGGAGAATTTGGAAACAATCCAGAGGAGGGCAAAAAAATAAGTTTAGAAAACATGACCTGTTTGGAAGGGCTGGATGAACTGGGATTATTTAGTCTGAAAGAGAGAAGACTGAGGAAGGATTTGATGAGTCTTCAAATACAAAAAGAGTTGTTGTAAAGAGGAAGATGATCAACCTCTTTCTTGCCAGAGGGGATAGGACAAGTAGTAATGGACTTCAGTTGCAACAACGGAAGAGTCAGATTGGTTGTTGGAAATAGTTTTCCTATTATGAGGGTGATTAAGCACTGGGACACATTAACAGAGAGGATGGTGGAATCTCTATCCCTGAAAGCTTGTCAATGCAGGATAGACAAACATTTGTTTGAAATTGTTTAGACATATTCCTATTCCGAGCAGAGGATTGGACTAGGTGACCACCTGAGGGTTTCTGCAGTTCTGTATTTCATGTGGGTCTCTCCCAAGGAAGAAAATACAAATTCGTTATGTGGAATTACCTTTAAATATATTTGTTTTTTCATAGTTTTCTATGCTCTACTTTGCTTGGTACTGATGAATATGTTTTGATGAATTCCAGCTTCATAAAATTTATACTACAGAGAAATACCTAAGGATAGATTATGTAGAATCTGTGCAGATACCCCATAAATTGGCCTTCACTGCTGCAGTGTTTCTTTAAAATGTTGAAGCATCAAAATGATATGATGTGGACTCTTCATCCATATTCACAAGATACCTGCTGTACCACCAGACTGATCCATAATTGGGGTTCTTTGTTACTGTTAACTGTCTCTGCTGAGGCTTCTTTTAGCTCTTATTTGTCTTTTGTATCATGAGAAGATGACTAGTGTACATGGCCTGGTACTTTTGTTTCCTTTAGCTGTGGAATTAATGGAATCTATATGTATTTCAGAATGTAGGGTGAAATTCTGCCCTCAAATGAGCATGAAGCATGCCTTTTGCAGGGCTGCCCACGTGGAAACCAATAATATCTAAATAAGAAATTATTTGAGAAGAATATATTCTATTATAAATAGGATTGATTTGGTCCAGTGTATGGTCATTTGAGTTTCATGAAGTTGTGAAGATTAGTGGTTTCTTTTCCTGAAATATCTTGAACTTCAGTTCATGTTTCAGGCTAAAACCATACATCTTTACTACTTTTGTTCAGTAAACTCTTCTGAAAATAAGTTTAAAATGATCCACTAAAGGGACCCTGCAACAGCAATTAAAAGGCATGGATATGTAATCCCATCTTTGTTTGGAGGGAGGGGTGAAGAGAAGGCAGTCTCCAGGTTAGAGAGAAGAGAAGGAGACCAAGTAGATCTCTTTGCTGTGAAGGGAATGTCCGAGCCAACAAGAAGATGTTATAACTGCTGCCGAAGAAAAATGAATGAGGGTAAACAATGTTTGGAATGTTGATGCTTTTTCTGGCTAAAATATCTCAATCTCATTTTGTCTTGTTTCTGTTAGGAAACTTTATGTGGAGCTTTGCCAAGGTATAGTGGATGTAGCCATCTCCAGCGTCTTTCCCCTCAGTGAGACAGCACAAAAGCAGAGCCAGCCATCAATATTTGTCAAGCTGTGATGAAAGGCCATCTCAGCTACATACGTGGGTGAACTGCCATCTGTTGAGTGAAAGGAAAGGCTGTTTGATCATTTATATTAGTATCATGCCAAAAAGGGATATCCACAAAGAAAAAGTCACAAGGAAAAAAATAAGTCTCCAAGGAGAGCTGAGGACAAGCCAAAGTTGTTCAGACAACTCTGCCTGTGTTTTACCAAGCTTTACATTAAGAACAGCTCTTTGATAACTTTAGACTTTAACTGAAGCAGATCTCTCTGGGAGAACAGCAAAATAATGTTTATTAAACTGGGATACAATAATATTGTATTACTTCATTCTTTCTTTTAAAAAAAGAAACAAACTTTTTTCCTTTTTGTTTTAATTAATAAGGCAATTTAGTGAACAGTATCAGTAATCTTCCAGGACTTCATGCTTGGAAGTTTTGTCATCTCTTGGTGTGTATTTTCTTGTTTCCTCACCTGATGCAGTTTTAGTGCCTTAGCTCAGTTCCAATAGGTGATTCCTTTTTGTTCTTGCTCCTTTATGTAGAGGTAAAAAGGTCTCTTGCTTTGTTGGATATGTAAAGCAAGAAAATATAACCCATTTTTGTTTTTTTTCTTTAACCAACTAGCTAAACACCATTTATTCTAAATAACAGAATGGCAAAGAGGCTATTGACAGGATAACGTATGTACTGCAGTAATTTAGCCTACCAAGTGAAAGAGGTTTTATTTACTTTTATCCTCTTTTCTAATGAGATTTGAATCAGTTGTCCATCAAAGTCTGATATAGCCAGAAAACAAACACTGAGACCTCTTGTGCTGACCTGCAGTTGTCAAGGAATCCTTCCTGACTCTTCTGTGGAGAATGCTCATAAAATAGAGGGTCCAGTTTTCTTGGAAAACTGGCTCAGAGGTTTCCAAATTATTTTAATTCCACTCTCCTTCCAGCTTTTCCATTTATAATGCTTCATTTTTATTAAACAAAAGAGTCTTATGTTAAAGGACCAATTCTTTACAGATGTTATTGCTTATTCATTTCTTTAAAAAACTTCATGTTACCTTAATGCACTTGACACTAAAAACTTTTCAGCCCAACTGGTTGTTTTTTTCTCCATTTGACAAACACTGAATTTTTCTGCATTTACAGGCCAGCACCAAAAATGACTCTACTTTGTGCCTCAGGCATTATCAGTCATAAATACCCCCAGACCTAAGGAGATTTTTTTTGTATGAAAAATAGTAGGGAAATGTTAACTGCACATTTGCTTTGTTACATGATTATGCAGTCCTTTTTAAGTTTCTTAAGGTCATTGAATTTAGAAACCTGCATACATTTTTAAATGTAGCCAAAGTTAATGTATGGAATCCTTACAGTTTTCCCCACTTCATCATAAACAGTTCCTGTAAGTCTGTTTAAATTTTCAGTCTAAGCAGGTTAGCCATCTTCTCTCTGAGCTTTGTCCTTTTGTAGAACACTACTTCAGGTCAGAACTTTGCTCTGTCGTCTCTAACAACGATATCACAAAGTCAGTTCATAGTTAACTACATTAATGATAGTGATCTGAGCAAAATAAAATAGGTCCCTGTCACTGAAAATGCATTTAGACACTACGTGATTTCAGTTGTCTAAGTTTAAAAAAATGGATCAAGTTGTATAGTTTTTGCCTCCTAGGACAGGCTTGAGCACTCTTATACTCTATTTAAAGCTGAGCTTCCTCAGCTCTAAATCAGTGCCAGTGTAGAACTCATCAAATTACTAATCCTGGCAGCCTTCCTTACTGTGCAAAATCATTGATGTTCATTAATTTCTCTTCCATATTTGATGATTTACACCAACAGGTTTGGAATGAGCTCAACAGCTCATTTTTAGTTCTTGTTTCTGAAAACTTTGGCCACATGATTATCAGATCATCACCCATTGCCCTTGCTGGCTTTCACTGCATTTAGTGTAAATAAATACCTCTTTATGGCTTTGCCACTTCACTGCAGATCCCTAACTAGCCTTGAGGCTATGGAGATAGTTCTGCTGGGCATGCTTTTCTTGTGAAATGTCCTTTGAACATCATTTGATACTTCAGCCCACAGTAGGAGGGGTGGCATTTAGCATTAGGAAAGCAGTTAATATTCCTTGGTTGCATGGCATTATTTTCCTGATAGCAATTGACAAAGGACAGATCTAATCCCACTCCTGCTGTTTAGCAGGGGACAGTGTAAGGGCAGGAATTTGTTTTGCAAAGAGTTGTGGTCAGAAATTGTCAGCTGGGTTTTCACAGCTGCAGAAAGGAAAGGAAACTATTTTTTTAATTATTATGAAGAATTGGTACTTGGCTCCATTGCAAAATATGGTTTTGATACTGATATTAAAATAGACCCAAGAAAATGTATCAGTGAAGCGTATGAGATATTCCTAGTTCATACGATGATGATTAATAAGGCCAGAGGCTTTGTCAGTAAAACACCATTCGTTATAAAAGTATATTCCTGTTTTGGTGCTCATGTCTTTGGATTTACACTGCCGCTGAATGAGTGTTCACAGAAATGTCAGGAATTCAAAGGTATTGAAATTTGTATATATAAAATGTGCAAAGTCCAGGGACTTTCAGATTTCCACCATAACATGAAATGTTAAAGATAACATCAAAGGTAAGCTGCATAAGCTTCTCTTAAGCAGTAAGTGTGAAATGAACTCAAGTTTTAAGTGTATAAATACCTCTATTGGTGGCAAAATTAATGTACATTAGAACTATAAAGAGTTTGCAATATTATATACCAGTAATTAGGAAAGATGACTGCTATAACATGGATAAAATGAGTTTGTTTGGTTATGTAAACGAATGAGATTTCCAAAAAATGAATGTTTAAAATTGGTTTTTTTGTGTCTGTATCTATGTTCCAAAATAAGCTGCTTAATTTCCAGTAAAGCTGAGCCCCAAACAGCTCCTATTCATTTTCTGGAAGCTGCAAAACAAAAACAAAAAAAAAGGAAATAAATAAGCTTTTAAATGCTTAAAAATCTTTGTGGGTCACCTTGGAATTTATATTTCACTAACTGATGTGAACTAAATAGTGAAATGCAAAATAAGCTGTCTGGTCAACACCACAATCAGGGAAATCTAAATTAAAAGCAACTCAAAAAGGATTTTTTTTAAAACAGGGCTTTCCTTTTTGTACTTCTATATAATGTGCAAAATTATGACTCCTGTTTTTATGTTTATGTATTTTTTCCTGGATTTCATAAAGAACCTTGTGGATGTTGGAGGATGTGTATTGTAAACTCTAAACTCATTTAACTGAGGAGGGAAAGTGGTGTTGAATCTTTATACACATTTTCTAGACGGTAAATTTTAAGAAATACTGGGGTCTAATTTACTGAGCTGATAATATGCTTAAAGCTACTGCTTGCCCTGTCTGTATAGAAATTTTCACATTAGCTAGCATAAGCTTAAAAAACAATTTTTCCTAAGGATGATGAGACCGAACAAGGTTTCCATGGTTCTATGAAAGATCTCCTTTCTTCAGAATGTTAACTAGAAATTTGCAGCTAAGTAGATGGGTATTAACCAAAAAGAAAAAAAAATAGATTTGAAACAATAATTAAACCTCCATCGCTTCTCAATTACTGTAACTTTCATTCTTGGTTCCTTTCATAGACATTAGGGCTGGAAGGGACCTCGGTAGATCATTGAGTCCAGCCCCCGGCTTAGGATTAGACAGATTTTCAGCCAAACAAACATTGGCAAGAAAACGCACATTTGCCAGTGAATTGTTTTATATAATTTTTGATTGGTGGAAAGCAGGACTCAGAAACATTAAAATATTTTGTTTCAAAACAACATTGGTCAGGCCGCAACTGGAGTACTGCATCCAGTTCTGGGCACCGCACTTGAGGGAGGATGTGGACAGCATTGAGAGGGTCCAGAGGAGGGCCACCCGAATGATCAGGGCCTACGAGGAGAGGCTACGGGACCTGAACCTGTTCAGCCTCCACAAGAGAAGGCTGAGAGGGGATCTGGTGGCCATTCATAAACTTACCAGGGGGGGACCAGCAGGGAATGGAAGAGGCCCTGTTCCCCCGAGCACTACCGGGAGTAACTAGGAATATTGGCCACAAGTTGATTGAGAGTATGTTCAGGCTAGACATCAGGAGGTGCTACTTCACTGTCAGGGCAGCTAGGATCTGAAACCAACTTCCTAGGGAAGTGGTGCTCGCTCCTACCCTGGGGGTCTTCAGAAGGAGGCTAGACAATCACCTTGCCAGGGTCATTTGATCCCAGCATTCATTCCTGCCTAGGGTAGGGAGCTGGACTTGATCTGCTAAGGTCCCTTCCGACACTAACAACTATGAAACAATGAAAACTTTTTAATGAAAATGAAAGAAATTAAGATGCTCTAAATTAAAACAAAACATTTTGTTTGTCCTAAAACATTTCACTACCTCTTCAGTGATTGTAGAACAAAGGTTCCCAACCACCAGGCTGGTACCAGGTTTGGCTGCCGGGCTGTGGCATGAGCCCCCTGCTCGGACCCCCATCTGTCTGCCTGGACAAGTGGCTTCCAGGGTCAGAGCTGAGCTTCTGGGGTTAAAGCTGGCCCGGGAGGGAGACAGCTGGTAGGGCTGTGCGAAACAGCACCGTTCCATTTTGACTTGCGTTTCAACGGAACAGCATTTCATTTCAATTCGAAACTGCTGTTCCGTTTCATTTTGTCAAAACAGTTTCGGTGTTTCGACACTGTTTTGACGTTTCACCCATAACCTATAATGGGGAAGCTCAAAACAGCCTATAACTTTGTCATTTCTGGCTGGATTTGAATGAAACTTGCAGAAATGGTAGCCCTTGCTCAGGGCATGAAGCCTGTCAAATTTTAAGAAGATAGGTGCAAGGGTTTCAGGGAAACTGCACCTCAAAGTCTTGAAAGCAAAAAACTCATGTCACGTGTATGTGTTAAGCCACAGCAGGGTCAAAACTGCAGGCATGCTAGCCCCTGCTGAGGCCACAAAGCCTGCCAAGTTTCAAGGCAATAGGTGCAGGGGTTTGGGGGAAACTGCACCTCAAGCTGCAGACAAGCAAAACTCATGGCATATGTGACACTGTGCATGTTAAGGCACAGCAGGGTGAAAGCTGCAGGCCTGCTAGCCCCTGCTGCAGCCATGAAGTCTGCCAGCTGTCAAGGACATAAGTGCAGGGGGAGTCTGGGTTCTGGGCCTCTGCACTTCTAGCTGCTGACAGGG